ATAGATAGATAGATAGATAGATAGATAGATAGATAGATAGATAGATATAGTGTGAGAAAGAGAGAGGATAGCAAAAGAGAGAGATAACATAGATAGATATAGATAGATAACTGATAGATAGATAGATAGATAGATAGATAGATAGATAGATAGATAGATAGATAATAGACAGATATAGAGATAGACAGAGATAGATATAGAGATAAATATATATGTTTTCTTAAGTTTTCGCGGGTACTTACATGTATGGTATTCAGCTTTGTTCGGGTATTTTCCCACGTCATTGTAGTTGTGCTTTTAAAATTGTAGCAACGTTTCGGCAGAATCTCATCTGCCATCATCAGGCTTCTGTATAGTGTTCGTCTGTGAGTCCCAACCAATCACGATGAAGAAAAAAACCATTCTGGCACAGCAGTAGGCTAGCCCCAAATTTAAAACAGAAACGGCTGTGAAAGCCTGACTCACAGACGAACACAATACAGAAGCCTGATGATGGCAGACGAGATTCTGCCGAAACGTTGCTACAACCAGGCATGATATTCCCCTCTGAAAAAAAAATCGGGGCCGGCCAAAAGAGACCCCCCACCGCGCGCCAAGAAATCGCTGCCCAGCTCCCTTTTCCTGCCACTCAGCGGCCTCCACTCGTACCACCCGCCCACCCGGGCTCCGCTCGCACCGCCCGCCGCTCGCACCGCCCGGGCGATTCCCCAAAAAATCGGAATTCCGATTTTAATCGGAAGAATATCATGTCTGTACTTTAAAAGCACAACTATAATGACGTGGGAAAATATAATGACGTGGGAATATATATATATGTGTGTGTGTGTGTGTGTGTGTGTGTGTGTGTGTGTGTGTGTGTGTATATGTATATGTATATGTATATGTATATGTATTACATACATATACATGCATACACACACACACACACACGCAAAGATTAATAATTAGCTATGATTTATTGTCTAGAAGTTGAGCCCACGTTCTTTTCTCTCTACTTCTAATTCTAAATGTACCGGCCCTGCTCTTCTATGTGTCTATTTCACAGAAGGCAAGAAAAAAATGGATATGGCGAGGAGGAAAGCAAAGCTATCTTTGAATAGAAAGGTACAATTTTAATGACGGGACGGCAAAGGAAGGAAATTAGCACCCTCGATTGCCCCTTGCCCCTTGGACGAGGCAGTTTTTGGAAACCTGGCTCAAATGCCTTTTCCAAAAGGGACGCTGCAAAAAAAAAAAAAAAACAGTCGGAAGGGAGCATCCTTTCGGGACTGTAATAGTCGGAGCAGCGGAATTCCCCCACTTCCCCCATTTTTAGAAAATAACAGGGGACACCCGCGGGGTTAACTGTTGGAGGAACTTACTTTTTCCGCCCAGAAACTACAGAAACTTCAGACCCTCCAGAGAGTCGTCCCGTTGCCAAGCAACATCCCCAGGACCGTATCCCAGCATTCCCCGGGCGGGACGCGACGGAGGGGCGGGAAGCTAGTGTCACTATGGTTACCACGCCAGGGCTCCGCGGCTCACCTGCGGTCGTTCTCGGTTAGTGAGTCCCGCCCCCTTTTTTTTCCCCTGCTGCGCGCGGCCGCCTCCCCAAGCCAAGTCACGGCTGTCCAAATGATGCCATATCAAGGAGATTAATGCTTGAGCCTTGGCAAGCCCTGCGATCCGAAGCATCGTCAGATCTTAGGCATTTTTTTTGCTGGATCTTGAACCGCTGCTCCGTAGATACAGACTGATTAGAATAGAATAGAATAGAATAGAATAGAATAGAATAGAATAGAATAGAATAGAATAGAATAGAATAGAATAGAATAGAAT